AAGCCAAAGCGGGACACGAAACCAGGACTGTGTGACATAAAACCTTAACTGGCATTAATGTTATAGGTGCATTACTTATGAATGTCAAAGTCTTAACCAAGTAATACAGGTCTTAACATAGCTGCCTATACTTCTTTTCTATTGTATCATTTTGAACATTACACATTTTTCAAATAATGTACTTCAAAATTTTCACCATTTGTACTAGTTTCATCTCCCTCTACCTTTTAGCACTAACAAACTATGTAAACTTCTGGAGTTATAAAATAAAAATGCAAATAATGGAAGTTGTCTTTAAATTTTGCAGAGAAAGGATTACGTACAAGCAGTAACTTTTGTCCACTGAACATACTGCCTCCACAAGCAACACAACAAGAGTTGTGTGCATGGTCAGGGAACTGCTTTGAGTAGCTGTTTTCTGTGAGAAGATGCTCTTAATTCCAGAAATCCACAGATCAGAGGTATAGATATATCCTTTTCCCTATTCAGTTTCTTTCTGTATCTAAAAGCCTCATTCGGATCTGGATCCAATAACAGGAAGAGGGAAAGTAAACATGCCCTATCAAGGCCATGCAATTTGATAGCAATAATTAATGATGTAAGCAGTCTTTTTAAATGGCACATGATGTATCTATAGTGCTCCTAAGATGCTGGAAAAAACATTCTCCATCCACCTGTGCCAAACACAGAAATGAGGCAGCCAATAGACAGTGCAGATATTCCAACTGCTGCTCTCAAGTGACTAAAAGCAGAGGTTGAAGGTGCCATCAGGGTGGCTTTACTGCCTCCTTTCAGGGTTTTCATATGTGAACTGTGAGAAAGCTGGTGAGGCATGCTACCCAGTGGTGCTCTCAGGAATACCATGGAAGTGGTACAGTGATACTCGTGTATCCTGCAGTGGCAGACTATAAAAACAAAAGTTTTTAAAGGGAGCAACTAAACAGTCCCTGAAGCACTGTCCACAGAAAATCAGCACCTGGTCTTTTCAAGACAATAGTAACTAGTGAACATGTGAATTGAACTCCATGCATCACACCTACCCTTTTATAGAAAAGGGCCAAGACTACTGTAACAGCTTCTTGTGAGAGAGATCTCTGAAAAAGGATAGGAAGGATGGGGTTTGATATTTTCTCCACCTAGCACAGTAAAAAGCCCTCCAGGACCCTGTTTTGCCTAAAAGAAATGCACAAACAATCCACAAAAGAGAGGGGAAACAGATAAGGAGCTTAATCTTTCTTCTATGGCACCTGGCTTGCAGATGCAGTCTGACCCATGGAGCTCCCAGAAGAGCTGGAAATTTGAGGGTGGGACCTACTGCAGAAACCAGGGTATGAGCCCAGCTGCAGGTGTGTTGGGGATGTGGATCTGGCCTGGAAAAGCTGGACCCATGCTCTATAACAAGTTTTGGCCCTCCATTTTATTCTCAAACTGACCTAGGTGAAAAAATTACTAGCTGTTGCTAAGGTAGCTGAAGAATACAAGGGAAGCTTCTGAAGGATGTCCATTAGCAAACTTCCCCTGAATACACATTGGTAATCCTCTAAGACGTTCTGTAAAAACAAATTAGGTATACTCAGTCACTGACTTGGTGTCTTATAGACTTACCAAGGCCTCAATAACCTCTCAAAGAGGTAACAGGTCAAGCTTTCTGCACTTTGGGCAGACTAGAGCGAGTGTTTTGAAAAAATGAGAGGAATGTGAGCGTATTTTCATCTCTGGGTAGTCTGTTATTCTTAATGACAGCTACATAAATGTATTGGTATGTTACATTAATTTTGCTTAATGACAGCTGTTCAGTGCTTCCAAATGTTATAGTAATTTCAAAGAAAATAAAATGCATATATAGGAAAAAGGTACTTTTTATGACTTTGTATATATATTCCTGACAACCTAATAGGAGAATAACCTGTCTATCTTCCAAGTGTGTTGGCTAGGATAATTTATGAACACACAGTCTCCCACCCGCCTCAATATAGAAGCATATGGCAATATCAGTGTTCAGTGTTGTGTGTGCTGGACAGGTATTGGCTAAGCCTAGTAATCATGGAAGCAGAGCAGATCCTGAGTATGGGAGAATGAGTACGTGGAGGTCTTGAACTGGTCTATTTATTAAAGGTTGCTTAGTTAAAGGTGAATGAAAGCCCTGGCTTTTATTTCAAAGGCTTGCTATAAAATCCTTGAGTCATAGTAAAAAAGTGCCAGGAAAAACTGTCATAATTTAGTAACTGACAAATTTGAAGTAGTATGTATTTAAGTAAAAGTAGAATTTGATCTACAAAGAAAAGCAAAAATGTATAAAACAAAAAGAAAAGAAAAGTACTTATTTGAAACAATAAACATTGTCAGATTTAAAAAACAATCCATATAAACTTATATTGCTAATATACTTGGACTTACCATTCATTATCCATGGCATTTCAAAAATCACTATCTTTGCTGAAATCAAAACGAGAGAGGCAGAGACTTAGAACTAAAGGTGTTACATATTTCACGAATAATGAAAGGGACAAAAAGGGTGTAGAGTATTATTAAAATCAAAATGCTCATCTGAAAAAGCAACTTCTATGTTTTTGGGGAAAATAATAGCTCCCCCCTCCCATTTGTAAAAATATTAATGGATATATATAAAAATATGTTTGTTAAGTTGAATAAAGACAATTTGGAAGCTGACTGGAAGCTATATGAAATTACATGATTTTGTTTTGGTGTATGAAAATAACTACAGCATATGAAAATGGCTACCAACATTTTGTGTACAGAAAGTTCACCATAATTATTCAGTTCAATAACCAAAAAGCAATAGCAAGCAACAAGCAATAGCTTTATTATTTTCTGATCTTAATGAGAAAGTAAATGTTCATTTCTTTAGCAAACAGGAAAGTATGATGTTTTAAGACTAAAATGCTTATATCAAAAGAACTGGTCATTTTTTCAAGAAAATTCTTTACCTAGAAATGGGGAACTGGAGCAACCAAAACTATTTGTGAATTTAGTAAATAGCCTGACCAAAAAGTTCTTTCCCCAGAAATAACAAAACAGTTCACTGTGGCAACAAACTGTGTGAAATTTTTTTTGTGAGGAGGAAGAGGTCTTGGTGACCTGCCTGAGCCCTGTAACAGAACTTCTCATAAACTCATTTGAGAAATGGTTCAAATCCCCTCTGTGCCAGATCTGGAGCACTGACTTGAAACTAGATCACAAGGTATCACAAGCTGTCTCAATGTTCAAGTATTCACTTCACAGGAAAGTACAAGAAATGACTTTGTAGTTAGGAAACTCATCAGGGTTTGTAGTTAGAAGACTCATCAGTAGACTTGGGTTCCAGTTCCTCTTCCAATGAAGATTTAAATTACTGTATTAAAAATGGAACATCTCCAAACAGGAAAGACTGAGACACCTACCCATAAAGTTCTTATGCCATGCTACACAGTCAATCCCTGTGGCCCAGTTATACTGAAGTATTTATATCAAGGGGAACAGCTTTAAAATGGAACAGACAGACACCTCCCCCAACACACATTATACAAGAATTGTAGTTTAGTAGTTACAGAGACTCTCCTCAGAATGTGGAAGGTCTGAGGTCAATACTCTACTCTAGATCTGGCGGAAAGGGAATTCATGAGCCTGTTTTTTTACACTGCAGGTGATTGCCCTAAGTATTGGGTATATAAGAAGGAATATAAACACCTCCTCAGCTGAATCACGGTGTCTAACTAGGAGCCTGTGAGGGGTTATATTGCACTGCCTACCTCTCCAGGCTTCTATCTGGCTGCTACTCCCAACATTGTTCCAGCTGCTGCAGCAGCTGGGGGATCCAGACTCCCCCTCCCTCCAACTCTGCCTTCTACCCTCTGTCACTGCTCCAAGGGGCAGCACAGTACAACACAACTGAACCACCAGTGCTGTGGGAAACCTGCAGCCCAGGGTGCCCGAAAGGTAGGATACTACTGGGAAGTTTACAGCTAGGAAGCCCAGTACAGCAAAAGCACAGGGGGCAGCATATGGATGCCCAGGCAGTTCAGCAGGGGGTGCACACAGCAGCAGTTAGGGGGCAAAGCACAGTGTGGGTGGAGCCATAGCCCCCAGTGGTGGAGGTGCAGCCCTTGCTAGTATGGACCCCAGACAGTTAGCCCTGAGTTGCATGAATAATGTCTAAACACCTTTGTGAACCTAGTCTGTGGTATTATATTTCACTTTGCTTTCATTTAAAATCCCCCAAAACACTACTTATAAAATGTGATCATAATGCATTATCTGATCCCAAAACAAGGTTTTTTTTTTCAATCAAGCAAAAAAAGATTCCATCTTGTGTGTTTGATCCCTCAAAAATGTCAGCTGCCAAACTGAAAAAAAATCAATTATTTTTATGACTTAACAAAGCAACTACTAACGTTTAAAAAAAGTGTTTGTGATGTTTCATTTAAATGAACCTAAAATGTACAAAAAGAAACAAAACTTGAGTATCTCCAGATGGTCTGCAAGCATAAAAGGTTAACATGTCACAGACAAGTGTTCAAGCTTTCTTCAAAAGAAACATTAACATTTCTCACTCAAGTCTGTTTTGGAAGGACAACTTCTTACCCAAAAGATTCAAGTCCCCACTTACAGTCAGTCTTTGGCCTCTATTACGAGGTTGCTAAAAAAGCACCAATTGTGTAAGGACTTGGCCAAACCCTACAACTATAGAAGAAAAGTACAGGGAACATCTGTACTGAAATGTCTCAACTCTTATAATTTCTCTCTAAAGTTGAAAGTACTCAAAATCACTCATGTTTCCAAACCCATGCTTTACACTCCCTATTTTTAAAACAAATCAACACATTACAAGTGAATTGTAAACAAAAATTATATTCAGAATTAAAATTCTGGTTATTTCCACTAGTATGAAAAAATGGAGAAGACATTTTGCACATAAATGTGCCAGCCTTCACAACACCAAGTTAGAGACAAGTCAACGTGCTTAAGAAAATATTTGCAAATTTTTCGGGGAAAAAGGCTCTCCATCAGTTGTAAATTTATCCAATGTGAAATTTATCCAAGACATGCAACTTACTGAGAAAATTAGGATAATAATCTTGAAAACAGTTGATGATGAATCGAACAAAGTCCAAATCCTGAAACAAACACAAATAATAAATGGAGTTTGAATCATAAAGCAGACATCTTTAAAATGACTAATTTTGCAATTAAAAATGGAGATAGATTAACTCATTACATCACAATGAAAATTATAAAGTCTGGGTATATTTATTAAGTTGCAAAGATTCTAAATCCCAGTGTAATGTGATGGCCACAAACCTTCAAAGATTTAACAAGTATGTTTAAGTTTTAAAACTACTTTCAGTGTACAAATTAAGCACATACGTTAGTTTTCTGCTGAATTAAGGCAGTTCAAAACTCAGGAGCTTTTCTTTAAGACTCCATATTGTGGTCTGTACAGTAGAAATAAACCTCTATTACTAAATGAAAAAACTATAAAGCTTTCCTTACAAGTTACAAGTGATTCTCAACCAGGGAGCCATGACACTGATATACCAAGATTAAATAAGGGGTCGGGGAAACCCAATAAACCCCCAACCATGAGTATCTTTGTAAAAATACAAAGAGTGAAAAGGTCTTATACTAGACAAAAATTATAACTACAAGCAGACCTTAGAATTTACTTTTCAAATAAGAAAGGTGAAGAAAAGGAAAGGAAAAGCTACTTGTCTGAAAGAATTCCAGTTATTTTATAGGGGTGTTACCCCCATACCATATTTCACTCTTGGTGTACACTTACTCAAGACCGTAAAATTTTGGTAGGCAATACCTAAAGCCGAGAGTTCTCATGCTCCTTTAATAAGGGTGTAAAAAGACTCTATAAGATCAACACCACACAGTTCCTTTTCCCAGTGCAGAATTCAATTATAGGTGGGCCCCAATGAAGAGGGGATTTTACAGAATTTCTCTTTTGGATTGCAAATCTCCAGAAGATATATTTTATCAGAGTGGAAAACCACGGATGGAGGATCTGCCATGACTTCTCATTCATATTTTTCCAAAAAAGGTAATTGCTATTATAAAAGGAGGTTTACAGCTTTATAAAATGGTAAGAATAAGATTAATGATTAATTGTTTAAAATAAAAGCTAACAAATGTCTAGAAGTCTTTTAGGGACACCAGAAAACATAAGGGTATCCGTATCTGTCTGGCAATAATCTATGCTCCCAAACTAAAAATCTCTTCCATTTAACCACCAACATCTGATGGAATTGTTCTTATCATTGGCTGGCATATTCAATATATCTGACAATACAACAACCTGGCTTCTGGCATCCATCCAAAGAAACATCAACATCTGATGTTTTCAAGTTTGGAATTAGTATTGATGTTTGTTTCAGAAGACATCTCAATAACTGCATCTGTTTTGAATTACCAGGACTCCTTGAGAAAGGGCAAATATCGTAATGATTTAAATGGCATCTTGGCCAATTTTATGGAGTACCCCTGAGCGCAGTGACATCAGTGCATAAGCATACACCACTAAATGGGACCAATCAAATGAATGCATTTGAAAGGGACCTTGTGCCTGCCAACTCTGGAATATGAAAGCTTGCAAACAGCTCTACTGGACTGATGCTTTTATTATCAGAAAATTGCAATGGCAAAAATTTTAATTGTTCAAATTGTCCACCACACTTCTATATACACAGGAAGTTAAACTACTGTGAGGTTTGTTTATGAATGCATTGATTCCACAATCCAACTGCTTCTTTACTCAAGTGGGTAATGGTGATCCTGTTTGCTTTTGATCAAGCAAGTTGACAAGTTGGACAGACAGTCCTTCCTTGTATCAGAGAGAAGAACTCAAATCTTGCCTTGTGGACCTGAATTCATGTATGAAAAGGTCTCTTTGCAAATACATTTGCCTTGACTTTGATGGTGCTGTGGGTATGCCCTTGTCCCCCACCTGCGGGGGAAAAAAAGTAACAATGCAATGATTATTAGAGTCTTGGTTAGAAGACTCTGGCTTTGCCTGCAGCAAAATGAATCTGAAATCACAGGAACACTTCTCAACATAGCAGGCTGCTGCCTCAAGGAAGTCAGTCAGACCTGTATCATACTGGGGGTGGAGAGAAGAGGCTGTACACAGCTCCATTATATGCACTGTGTCCACCTTCCTACACACACAAAGATTTTGCTTAGGCTGGCAGTCATTATAAAGATCTGCTGGGCCCTCAAAAAGGGGTCCATAGAGAAACAGACAGAGGCGCTCAGTTTCAAAAGTACAGAGCTAAGAAGAAAATGAGTAGCTGTCAGCTGCGCACTGCCCTATACAGCCTCAGTATAGGAATCCAAGGGCACAATACGTACATGCAGTTCAAACAGACATTATTAATCAAATCGCAAACATACGCATATGAAACAGTAGAATATAAACTTTCAAAGAAATGTAACTTATAAAAAATCACTTTGGCAAAAATAATTTAAGTAGACAAGATTTACAAGTAATACACAAAAAACTTTTAATAATGAAAAAAAGCTTTTGACGAAATTCAGAGAGTCCATCTTGAAACAGAGAGCATTTTTCATTAAAATGAAGAACATGATACTAAGTTCTAGATAGTAAGTAGACTGCAAAAAAATGTTCAAGATAGGATTTAAGCACATATTTAATTCCACTTGTTGAACAAAGCACTTATTCCTAAATACCAACAACTTCACTACTGTGGTATTTAAACATGTACTAATGCAGTTCACCAAATTGGAAAAGGCTGCTAAAACAGGACCTAAAAATAGGAAGAGGCATATATTAAAATGACAGGGGGTAAAATATATTTTGCACAAAATGGAATCAACAAGTCAAAAGAATTGACTGTTATAGAAATATCAAAACTGTGCTTTGTTAAGTGATTTTTTTTGAAACCTAGAAAGATGGATTAATTTATTTTGTGAAGGTTACTACTGTGGGTTGCCTGGGAAACTGCTCTGATCCCTGTGTTGAGCTAATCTATGACTACAATACATTTATCAATAACTCCCCAAGCAGATGTGAAACCTACTGGTCTGAAACACATTTCAACACTTATTTCTAAATCCCTAGAATATAAAATACTGCATTTAGAAACATACAAATATCCCAATGTCTCACTAACCTTGAAAATATTCCACATTAATCGTTTTGTTCAAACTGTTTTCTGGAATAATTCCAAATTGAAATATTTAGACGGATACCTAAAAACAGTCCCTCTTTTAACGTTATACTTATGTGAGACAAAAACCTAAATAAAATAGTGGTGCTCACTCAATATAGAGGAAACCCCTACTTTTTATATTTCACTTTCTTTTGACAATGACATTATTCTGGAATATCAGAGTACAGAAGTGAATTATAATGTTATGCTTTTTCTATTGTGCTCTCTTCAAAACGACAGCATCATTGAACACCCAACAGCACCTTTCCAGCTAATAGTTTCTTCCTTTCAGTACAGGGTAGGAGTCTCAGTGTTTTAAGATCAGGGCTCAGATGAAATTGTTTGGGTTAAGCTTCAGTCAGTGTTAAAAGAATATTGGTATGTTGGAGAAGAAACTAGAAAAAACAGACACGGATTTTACTATTACCATTGACTGAAGAAGTGAGACAGACATAGGCCAACAGTTCAGAAGCGATATAGGATCACAGCTGTTCCTAGGTACCTAAACAGCAGATATGGCTATATTAACTTTTCCTCCATCTGTCCTATATATAAGCATAATAGTTTCTTCAGTATATTTACCACACTGCAATCATTTCTGCCTTTGGAATCTTGTTTTCTGTGATTTCCTCTCTATTTACTCCATTCATGAGCAGCAGAGACATTTGACCTAAAGCAACAGTTCCCAAACTCTGATAGATTGCATACCGCCAATTTAAAATGATACAACCTTAAGTACCATGAGCAAATTTTTGTCATATAAAGTAATTATAATAAATCTGTTAACGCATACTACTGAAAGGTTGTCTGTGTACCACTGGTGGTACACGTACCGCAGACTGGGAACCGCTAACCTAGTCTTCTCTCTTTAGACAGGAGAACCTGCTGGTATTGAGCAATTGATCAAGGGTCTTTTAATCTGAAATTCACTTCCCTTCAATGGTTTACCAGAGTTAAGCTGTTAAGTTCTAGATTCACTATAAAGTCCATCTTTTTACTCTGACTTTTGATAGGGGAAAAAATGGCTTCAATTACAGAATGGTACAGTATGGCAAGACAAGGATATACTCCATTATCAACATAGTGACCTATCATAGGAAGCTGCACTAGATGTCTATTGTTAACATTGATTTTTAGATGCTTTACTTTGCACAATGCAAAAACATAAGTTACTTTAAACGTACTTTGAAATAATACATAAAAATGCAGAGTATACCCAATGTCCTGTCATCTAAGACTATATAAAACATATGGTAAAGTACGAGTGACTGGTAGTAAACAATTATATTGTCAGATGTACTCTGATCAGCAGCCACGTATGAGAGTTTTCTTTTCATGCATTTCTGAATCTCTATCAAAGGCTGCTTTAGGACACTATGTGCACAGTAGTAAAAAGGATGAACGCTGAACATACAGGAAATGCACGAAAATTCTGGAGTAACTTGCAATACTTTGCAGTATCAATTTAAAATTAAACCTTTTAAACTATTCGGGACATTTAAGGGATGTAGCAGCATCTCATGTATACATTTCAATTTTTAGTTTATCTATGTCCAATTTAAGGTAACCAAATAAACATTAGAATTTTTAACACTAAATGAACTACCAACTTACAAAATGAGAAAAAGCATGAGCTTTCAATTATTTTTGTCACAGGTGATCTTCAGCTTTTTTTTTCATGTATCCATTAAAGAAAGAACTGTCTTTTTAAAAACCATTCATGATTTTATACATCCTAAAGGAGTAAGAAAAAAAGAAAAGATCTTGTTCCTCTCTATGTGCCACCAATAAGTTTACTAACAGATTTAAACATCAATTATTAAACTATTCCTTTGGTAATCATTTTAACAAAATAATTAAAGCTATTTCTGCATGCACAGACATGCATCAGGTTAGGGTAGCAGGACACAGTTGCTGTAGAGTTATATTGGGACAATATTCCCTCCCCCTCTTTCCAATAGTTCAAATAACACAACTCAGGCTACAAAGAGAAAGAAGACAGTATCAGAAGTCAAAGTTGCTCCTGGATGCCCTACAGACCACCTCCCATGACTTCTGCAGTACTAGAAATCCCAACCAGTCCTTCCCCCGGCAACCTCTAAGATGTAGTCATTCACTGCCAAAAATCTACAGCAAATCAAGAATACAAGATGTTGAAAACGGAATAAAATAAAAGCTATGGAGCGATTGGAGAGATTATAGTAGTTGTGAGTAGAGAGCTAGTGGGGCAGAGATGTTTTGACTCTGGGGTTCTTTGTGCATAATAAAGATCAACTGGGATTGATAAAATCAGATTAGTCTAGACAGAAATTATTAATTTAAATGCTTACTATTTGACTGATTCCAGTTTCTGCCATGTCAAATACAACCGTTAAGGGCTTTCCATGGTCTCTTCTGTTATAATGCTCTAACCAAAATGCTACAAACTTCTTTTTCTCAGACAGCACTTTAGGATCTTTTGTATGACACTTCACCCTGAACCAGACTACAAAGAAAACAAACAAAAGGATTGAACAATTTATCATCAAAATAGCAAATTCATATTACTGATTTAATATATGTGCATATAATACATAATAGTGTATACTGTCTTAAGAAACCCATTTTCATCTACTGCAACTGTTTCTACAAACAGAAGTGGCAAAATTGTCTGCTTTTGTTGCTGTTGCTTTAAACCAAAAAATACCGCAAACAGTACAAAAGGGGAGAGAGGGTGGAAATTATAAGCCCAAAACCATAGTCATGGTACTGGCATCAGACTGTGGGACTATCAACCTTCATAGTGTGTTCATTCCTCTTGTGTAAACAACCAAGATTTCTGAAATTTCCAACTTGAAACTTGGCTTGAATGGAGGTGTTGCTTCCTAAATTTAATTTGGGTAGCCCTTGATATTTTTTATATTATTTGTAGAAAGTTAGGTCATGGCAAGTGTGCCTGTGCTTTTACTGAATTTAAGGGATATTCTGTTTTACAGAAGATGGTTTGCAAAATAATGATTTCAGTTGCTTATACAATAAAGACAATTCAAGCTAAAAACAATTCCCAGGAAGTTTGCCTACTTCCAATTGGTGACAGGCTGCCAAAATGGCAAGGAAGACAATCCCCAAGCCACCAAATTATTTAAATCTGTAAACTGCAAAAGGTACCCAAAACAGCAATTTTTAAATCTAAGGACCAATAAATCAAGGGGAGAATCAAAGGATTAGCAAGATTCTATAGCCAAAGACTACCGGGTGCTATATATAAAGTGCTCTGAATTAGACCCCAATAGTCCTCTCCAGTCAAATTTCTCAAGAAACAAAGTGACATTTTTCTGGTAATTACTTCATTACAATATTGAAATGCTATTGCAATTTAAGGCATTAACTACTTCTGTTAAACATCCCATTATTTAGACCGGTGATTGGCAACCTTTTTGGAGCAGTGGGCTGCAATGATCAGGCTCTGGAGGGGACAGGCATTAAGACTTGGCTGCTGTTGCCAAGCGTGGCACATGCAAAGCCCCCTGCTACCAAACACTGCAAAAGCCCCCTAGGTCTGCGAGCCAGAACTGATCCATGGGCCATTGATTACCAGACCCCAGAGACCATACCTTTCTGAAGAAAGATATAATTATACCTTGATAAACAGAAAGGACAGAATTTAACTGATATTTAAAGATAAAATAAATATCAACTGATTTGGCAGTATCAACATTACTCTGAGTGGTTTATTTCGAATAACTGATATAAGTATTTTCCTTCTGTTTCACAGATTTAAATTACTCCATTTTGCCCATTTGTAAACCATTTAGGTTATACAGGATATACCATGAACAATTTGTGTATCCTTACATAAAATTATTTTGCCTGTGTACGATACACTGAGAAATAACTCAACATTAATTTTGCAGTAAGGTACACTTTTGTTCCCTCGGGGGTAGACCAATTCTCAAAAGGTATTATTTCAACTGAAAGCTCTCCACAGAGCAACAGAGGAGAGCTGATGCCTAAAATAACTGTTATTACTTGTCATGCATTTTGTTTTCATTTTCTTTTCCATTATATTTAAAAGAATGTCCTATTTAATAATTATTTACTTGTTTTCAACTGAAGTTTCCTGTAAGACAAAGTAATCCATTCTTGCGACTAAACAGTGGAAATTCCATTCCTGAACTAGGACTGAGTTCGAAAAAGCAACTTTAGGGCTTTTGTTTTTCCACTAAAAGTCACTTGGGTACTTGACCTGAAACACCCACCTTTCTATTTCACAGCTGTAATACTGTTATTGCATAAGAACCATGATACATCTGTGAAAATTCAAATGGGTGCTACAGATGAGAATGAGTTAACTGCAAATAAGGCTTAATATGGCTGTATAAGTCAAAGCAAAAGAAACACCGTATTTCAGTTCTGCATTAACGACTGGGGTAGAGAATACAGTTTAATAAACAACAAAAAATTAATCTACTGAATTCATGATTTCATGGCCTCTGAGAAATCCAGACAACGAAAAAGGGGGGGGG